GGCGGGGGGTAGTGCACCCGGGAGGGCTGCAAGCGGCCCCCAACGTCGCCCCCAGCAGCCCAGCTGCCCCTTCAGCCGTTCTTGGCATCCCAGCAGCTGCTGAGATGAAGATGTTCGAGGGCGCCCCCTCCCTGGCTGGCTGAGCTCGGCTGCCAGCCAAGGCTCCTGGGCCCTCGCTCCCCGCCCCCTTCCTTGGACAGTCCTTCTTATCTCCTCAAGAGTCTCCTTGTACTTTGTCCCCGAGCCGCCTTTGTCCCGCGCCCAGCATTCACGGAGGCGGCCTGGCCGCCCCATGTGACGCGGGCTCGCCTGCTCTGCCCTTTGTGCGGACTAGACCCTTCCCGCAGCGCCCCGAAATATGCGAGATTCCTGCAGAGAAACCCGAGAGGGGCCCAGGCAAAGCCTTTCGGGAGAACGGACGAGGGGTATTCCGCTGTCCCGCACCCCACCCCCAGTGTCTACCCTCTCCTCACCTCTCTTTAACCGCTCCCGGGTTGGCCTGAAGACGCAGGTGCGGGTGAATCTCAGGCAGCGGCCAGGGAAACGCCCTGCCCTCTTCAGAGATGTGTCCCGCTCTCTTCCTCAGGGGCCTGCTGATTTGTGCGAATTCAGAGCTTAAGGGCTTTTAAAAAAGGAGGATATTTTACCTTTTTACTCCTAACACTGGCCTCCTTTTTGCTCTTTCCTTCCCTCAATAAATGGTAGCTCTGGCCTCCTGTCCTCCCCACCCCATGTTCAGTAAGTGAGCAACTGGGAGCCACAGAAGGTTCTTAAGCCAGAGAGGGACACAGCTATGATTAAGGTGGCATTTAGAAAAATGATTATGGGAGAAGTAGAGGCAGGAAGGCAGGAGGCTGTTCCGACACTGTAGGCCACAGGGGATGGGGGCTCACTCCACTGAGCCCCACAGTGATGGAAGGTATCAGAGGCTTTTCCTCCTTGACCCTCACATATTTGGGATCAGCCCTAAATATCTTGAGCTTTCCTTCATGACAGCCTGTGCATTTGTAACCCATTTTTGAACATTTACTATGTACCAGACAGTGTGCTAGATGCAACACTATTAATCTTCTCAGGGACCTCAAGAGCTAAGCATCCTTGTTACCCTCAGTTTGCAGAGACGTTAGGCCACTTGCCCAAGGTCACCCAGCAGGAAGTGGCAGAGCAGGTCTGCATGACACCATAGCCTTTGTTCTAGCACAGACCTACTGGTATTCAAGCCAGGCTTATTGGCTGCAAACCACTCCCACAAGCCCCAAGTTTCAGTCAAAGGGATGAACTTGTCCTAATCTGAGTACATCTTGAACTTGTCTCCTTTACTTAGGATGTCCTCCCTAACAGCTTTTGTCTAGTGAAGTTCTCCTCCCTGTCCTTCAAGGTTGGCCTCAGTTTCCACCTCCTCCAGTCAGCTGCCTCCGATTACCCCTGCCCAGAGTGATCCCTCTCCCTCCCCCAATCGTCTGTTTGTATTACTGCGTTGGCACTCAGCACAGACTGTCCTATATTGTATTTCTCTCCCCTTGCTCTCACATGCCAATTAAACTAAACTCTTTGGCCCTGGCGAGGAAGCTCAGTTGGTTAGAGCATCATCCCGATATGCCAAGGTTGTGGGTTTGATCTCTGGTCAGGGCACATATAAGAATCAACCAGTGGCCCTGGCCAGTTTGGCTCAGAGGTTAGAACATCAACCTGTGGATTGAAGGGTCCCAGGTTCGATCCCAGCCAAGGGCACGTACCTCGGTTGCAGGCTCATCCCCTGCCCTGGTCGGGGTGCGTGCAGGAGGCAACCAACTGATATCTCTCTCTCTCTCTCTTCCCCTTCCACTCTCTCTGAAAAGCAATGGAAAAAATATCCTCAAGTGAGGATTAAAAAAAAAAAAGAACCAACCAGTGAATGCATCAATAAGTAAAACAACAATCTATGTTTCCTCCTCTGTCTCTCCTCTATAAATCTATTTTAAAATTTTAAAAAAGAAACCTTTAAAAAAAAAACAACCTCGCCCAGTGGAGCGTGGCTCAGATGTTGAGCATCGACCTAGGATCCAGGAGATCGAGGTTCGATTCCTGGTCAGGGCACATGCCAGAGTTGCGGGCTCGATCCCCAGCAGGGGGCGTGCAGGAGGCAGCCGATCAATGACTCTCATCATTGATGTTTCTCTCTTTCTCTCCCTCTCCCTTCCTCTCTCTGAAATCAATGAAGATATTAAAAAAACAAACAAAAAACAACCTCTAAACTCTTTGATGACTATGTCATACTATCCTTGTGCACCTAGTAGGTGTGCCAGAAATATTTGTTACCTTTTTCTGGTTTGGCAGCCTGGGAAAATGTGATTGTGTGTGTGTGGTGGGGGACATTGTATGTGTGTGTGTTGGTAGGGTGCGTCTGCAGCCAGAACCTTGACCTCCCACTCCCACATTCCTGCCTTGGACTGAATCTGCAGGACCCCAAAAGCAACTCAGATTCCGTCAATTCATTAATAAAGTCATAGTGATCAGTGGTTCATTCGCTGAGCCCACCAGCCAAAGCCACCTCCTGACCTTTGCTGACTCCCCAGAGACCAGGCCCAGGCCCAGAGTGGGCCCCAAGCTTTCAGGCTTTCATTTTCAAAATGAACCCTGACTGACAAGCAGTTACTTCCGTTGCTCTGGAAACTCCCCTCCACAACCCCAAATCTGTAAACACCAAACCACACACATGCACACACACTTCCAGAATATGCAAACAGCAGCTGCAGCAATATTTTTTTTAAATCAAAAATGCCAGCATGGAGAATGCAGGATGGAAGAATGCTTGGACTATTAATTTTCCTCACCACTAAGCAGGCATTTCCCTTCACTATCAGCACTAATAATATCTCCGGTTCAAAGACTGCAAGGCAGTTGCCTGACCAGCACCACAGACCCATGACGCACGTGCCCTTGCTAAACTCTCCTGCCAGAGACCGAAGCCACAGTGCCTCCCTAGCAACTCATTTCATCTTTCCCTAGCAAGTGCTTCCTACTCAGGGTCACCAGCTGCACACAAGGTCCCCCAGAATCCCCGCACTCATCTCGATTTCAGCACAGAGGGCCTCTGGAATTTGATACCTGGGAGTGGGATAGAGGGAGCAAAAAGCAGAAGGAATCGTTCTAACCCTCCTAAAACAAAGATGCCAGTCACCTGAGGCTGCTGTTCCCCTCCAAGGGAGTGGGGTGAAAACCCCTCAAGCCCTGGGAAGCAGGCTCCCCAAAAGTTAGATGTAGGGTATTTTGCTTTTGAAATGGAGATACCTGGTATCTTTTCCAAATAGCAGACTCTCTCATGTATTTACAGGTTTGATTACGGACCCCGGACTATTTGAACTAGAAGAAATTTTTGTTTGTTTGGTTTTAATTTATTGATTTGAGAGAGAGAGGAAGAGAGAGAAACATCAGTTTCTGTTGTTCCACTTATTTATGCATTCACTGGTTGCTTCTTGTATGTGCCCTGACTGGGGATCGAACCCGCAACCTTGGCAAAACAGGACGACACTAACCAACTGAGCTACCCGGCCAGGGCTTAGAAGAGATCATAATGCTTCATTGGTCGGTTCTTCATTTTCCAGATGAGGTTTAAGAAACTGTCAGAGAGGCTGGCAGGAGGCAGAGGAACTTAAAACTGGAGTGTTGGGAGTACATTGAAAATCAATCTCGATGAAGAGGGAGCAGCTCAGGATTCTTACTGTAATTCCGTGATGAATCATAATTTTCCTGTAAAAAATTAATTTACTTTACACACAGCTTTTCAGGAACATGCTCCTGGGTTGGGGGGGATGCCAAAAGGCACATGTGTCTTTGGCTTTCAGTGGAGTTTGCCAGTGGGCCTTACAGATCCAGAAAATTCCAGGAATGCAAACAGATAAGGGGGAGGGGGAATATGGGAAGAAAAGTCCCTCAGGCTTCCATAACCCTTGCTGATGGAAGGAACATTTCTTGAGGTTCCAGATGTAAAATAGAAATTTTCCTTCTTCCAAAACCTGCTCTGATAGCATGACATGATTCTCAGTGAGAGAGCTCCTTTCCCACCGAGAGTGTGTAAATGTGTGTGAGAGAGTGTATGTCTGAGTGTGTGTGCATGCGCCAGATGACACTGCCAGATGTCACTGACTCTGGTTGTCATTTTCGCCTTTCCAAGTGCCAGGGCTTTACACGAGAAGAGCCCTGTGAAAGGGTTACCATTCTGAATACCTTTCATGTTTAGTAAACACTTAAAAAAATTACTTCCTAATACTTTGGAATTACTTTTTCTCCCAGCCCTTCAGTAAAGCGTGATGTACTTTTTAGAAAAAAAGTTATGATCTTACTTTGGGAACTGGGTAAGCTTGGAATAATAGCGGTGGCAGGAACAAGTGGGCATCTGTGAACCACAAGACGAAGGTTTCTCAAAACGACTAAGGAGAAAGGGGTGTGCATGGAGCAGAAAAAAATCTTCAGGCCTGAGTGCAAGCAGGAAACCTGCCAAAAGCTCGAGATGCAATGGCTTAACTGGAGTCCGAGTGTCAAGCATGGGCCCTGAAGTGTGACAAGAACAAAAATTTCCATTACACTTTTTATTGATACTGTGATGAAAAGAATGTCACGTCCTGGAAAAGACCTCAAGTATTACCATGCGGAGACACACGAGGGCGCTCCAAACAACTAGAGAATGAGAAAACCAGAAGGCATACAGATTTCAAGGTGGGAGGAAAGCCATTGCAGACCCTTTGTTGGTATGAATTCAGGTTTTTAGCCAAGATGGAGCTGCTCACCCTTGGTCCATAAGTAGATGCAAGGAAGGAGGTACTAGCATCAGGGGCTGCGGTGATAAGGCCAAGGTGTCATTTCTTTTTTTCTTTGTTTTAATCTATCTTTATTGATTTCAGAGAGAGGAAGGGAGAGGGAGAGAGATAGAAACATCAATGAGGATGAGTCATTGATCGGCTGCCTCCTGCATGTCCCACGCTGGAGATGGAGCCCACAACCTGGGCATGTGCCCTGACCGGGAATCGAACCCCGATTTCCTGGATCCTAGGTCGATGCTCAACTGCTGAGCCACGCTGGCCATCCAGGGTGTCATCTTGAAGAGAATGCGGGCAATCTGGAGAGAGAAGGAGGATGGTGAGCAGAACGTGTTTCCTTACTTTAGTCAAGAGGAGTTGGAGTCTGTAATATGTAAGGCCGGGAATAATAATCCCTTGGGTATTTTTTGGGTTTTTTTTAATCCTCACCTGAGGATATTTTTTCCATTGCTTTTCAGAGAGAATGGAAGGGAGGGAGGGGGAGGAGAGAGAGAGAGAGAAACATGGATGTGAGAGAGAGACATCGATTGGTTGCTTCCCACATGTACCCTGACCGGGGCTTGGGATCAAGCCTGCAACGGAGGTACATGACCTTGGCTGGGATCGAACCCGGGACCCTTCAGTCTGAGAGCCAACGCTCTAACCACAGAGCCAAACCGGCTAGGGTGCTTATGGTTTTCAAAGTGCTTTCATATTTTTAAATTATCTCTTTGACCCAGGTAGCAAGCCTGTGAGGTAAATAGAAAAGACAATATTTTTATATGTTTTTTATTGATTTCAGAGAGAGGAAGGGAGAGGGAGAGAGAGAAATATCAATGACAAGAGAGAAACATCATCGATGGGCTGCCTCCTACACACCCCCCTACTGGGGATCGAGCCTGCAACGTGGGCATGTGCCCTGACTGGGAATCAAACCGTGATCTACTGGTTCATAGGTCGATGCTCAACCACTGAGCCATGCTGGCTGGGCTATTATTGTTTTTGATCTCTTACTGTGCTTAATTATAAATTAAGCTTTATCATAGATATGGATATATAGGAAAAAACATAGTATATATAGGGTTCGGTACTATGCACAGTTTCAGGCATCCACAGAGGGTCTTGGAATGTATCCCCAATGAAGAAGGGGGGGGCTATTATATTAGACATTATCCTCTTTTTATAGATGAAGAAGCTTAGGCTCAGAGAGGTCAGGTAACTTATTGAAGGTCACCTGGCTGCTAGCAAGTGACAGATCTTCCACCAGTCTGACATCTCTTCCATCATTGCATTGGGAAGGAAATGGACAGAATCTCAGCAGAGCCAGCCTTTCTCATGGAGACCACTCTCCATGCTGTCAGCCTCTCCTCACTGAGCAGATGGAGACCAGAGAGGCCTAGAATGGTGCCAGCCTGTGGACTAGTGCCAGTCCAATGAAGTAAGAAAAGAAATTGAGTGTTTAGAAATGTTCATAGTATTTTGATATTGCTGCAGCATCCAAGTGTATGACTTTTAAATTTTACAAAAGTATATGTTCATGACAGATTGTAAATTTCTTTTTTTGTTGTTTGTTAGCTGTTGTCTTTCTTATTTTTAATTTTTTTAAATTTATCTTTATTGTTGAGAGTATTACAGGTATCCCATTTCCCCTCCCCAAGTGATCCCCTCCACTTCGCTCCCACCCCCTTCCCAGACCTTCACCCCCTTATTGACTGTGTCCATGGGTTATGCATATATGCATATAATTTCTTTGGTTAATCCCTTCCCACCCTCCACCCCCCTTCCCTCTTTCCTCTGAAATATGATCG